CACCCTGGAGTGCAGAGGACGCCCCCACGGCAGCGACCGAGGCAGCAGTGACCGAGGTGGCAGTGACCAAAGCGGCAGCTGGGCTGAAGAGCACCAGTGACGGCTCCCGGACACTTGCAGTGCTTCCTGCCCCCCACCCCAGTCACACTGTCCTTTTCTCTGACAGGCTCCCTTCTCCTCCTGTCTTCGCTGGTTAGTGTTTTCCATCCTTTGGGGCTCCTGCAGGCTGGCTGTCCGCAGGGCAGAGGTCTGATTGTTGCCAAAGCGGCAGGCTCTCTGTGGCTAGAATGTGCTTGTTTGGGCTGTTTAAAAATTACCGGATGTGGGAAAGTTTGAGTTTGGAGCTAGCAGGCTTTTGAGCTGTCGGGTCTCAGCCTGCGGTGACGTAAACCGCCCAGGGCCAGACTCTGTGGAGGCCAACGTTGGCTAGTTTCCGTGGTGATGCTCTATCTCGTAAATTTTGGGTGTTGTTTCAGCTTACGGGGGTAGGTCAGCACGTGGTTAACGTTGTCCTGAACCCCAGGTCTTCTACTTCGCAGTTGTACAGTTTCCGCAATTACTGAAACCTTTCTGTGCCTTGGTTTCCTCGTCGATCATGTGGGAACAAGTTGTTGCCTGTGAGGTGCTCAGCACAGTACCTGGAAGGTGGTTGGTGGTGATCAGGTTTCCGACTGCGCATTAGTGTCTGGTACAGCCCGAAACATGAAAAAGGAAGAGCTGCGCACACAGCACACATTGAGATGAGAACGACGGCTGAGATGAGGGGAGCCTGGTGCCCGGCTGTGTCCGGGTGGGACTGCGGTCACCCGTGTGCGTGGTGAGCCCAGGAGACATTCCTGCGAAGGTTAGTAACTGGTGGTTGAGAGATGCCGTGGTGTCTGTGCTGGGCGGTAGCCACGCTGAGGCTGGGCCAGGCCAGCTGGCAGGTGGGTGACCTCATTCCCGGCTCACCTGGTCTTTGAGTAGGCTGAGGACTTCCCTCAACACAGATCACGTCTAATTCCTGAGGCAAACCCACTCTTCTTGGGTGCCGTCGGGAGGTGGCAGCCAGTGCCCCCGGGACCGTTGGGTGGAGGGTGCGACTTCGTGCTGTGATGAGCCAGGAAGATACCTGTTTTCCCTTGTTCTTCACTAAGGAATCCCCAGTTTTGCTCTGGGAAGCAGTGGGCCCAGCTTAAAACTCACTTCTGCAGCGAGCAGCGGCTGGGAGACAGGCTCTGGAGAATGAGATGGTGAGGATTCCTGGGGAGGGAGTCCCTTTTTGGTCCCTTTTTGGATAGAACCCAAACAGCTCTGGGCCCTCTTATTCTCTCTTCTTGCCCGGGACATGGCTGTGATGTCTGGTGTCAGAGCGGCTTCTTGTGTGAGGAGGAAGGCCACAGGAGGACCGGGGCAGGGTACTGTGTGGGCCCCTGAGGGGCGCTGCCCACAGGGCAGGGCTGGAGTTCCTGGTTCAGCACAGAGATCCAGCGCAGTGAACGACATGACTAGAGCTGCATTCAGTGACAGGAGGACAGAGGTGCGTTTCCTACAGGGTATAAGGCTATGATCGCATTTCTTGTGGGTTGTTCACAGGAGGAGGATGGTGTCTGTGACCCGAGGAGTGGGGGAATGGTTCTTGGCGGTGGTCATCAAACTGGCTCTCGAATGGTCAAGGATGGGGGTTGCCATGAAGGGGCACGAACGGGTTCAGCCGGACTCAGGGCTGTGGAGGCCCAGTAGGTGGTCTTCGGGCTCCTGCCCTGCTCGGGCGCTTTCCCGCACGTGTCCGGTCTTGACTGACCAGGGGGCAGTGCTGGACCACTCGAGGGGCCTATGTATGAAGGGAAGGAGAATGAAGTGTGTGGAGTGGAGATGGGGGAGGGCACACGGGGACCCAGGTGCTGCTGATGGGGGCCTCCACCCTGGCCCCTCTGTAGAGTGCCTGGCGCTGGGGGCTGAACCAGAGCTGTTGGGGGCAGCGCTCGGGTTGAGGGTGATGCATGGGCCCAGGTTCTGGTGCTGTCACCTGATGTCCTTCACCAGCTGTGTGGCCTCGGGCGGATTGTGTGACCGCTCCCTGCCTCCCTCATTTTCTCGTCTGTAAAGGAGGGGGACTATGGCTCTACCTCAGTCACAAGGCACACTTGCATGCTTAAAACAGAGCCTTGCGTGTCCTGGGCAGTCAGTGAATGGTGGCGCCCATTAGTTACTGTCCAGGCTGGCAGCGTTGAGGGTTACATGGCTGGAGTTTGGAAATAGCATCCCACCGAAACCCTGGTTCCTCGTTTGCTCAGTTTATCAGCTTGCTCTATTTTTTGGGGGGAAGGAGGTGACTAGGTTTACTTAGTATTAGTTGCTGTTTGTTTAACAGAGGTGCTGGGGATCGAACCCATGGCCTCAAGCATGCTAAGCAGGCACTCTACCACTGAGCTACACCCTCCCCCCAGCTTGCTTCACTTTTGAATATAATTTAAATTGTTTGCTACTTTAGACTGAATCTAGCAGCTTATCGTGTGTGTCATTACACGTGGTTTTCCTCGTTTCCAGTTTATGGAAATCTCAACACTCAGTGGCCCTTTTCAAGGGGCCTTTGTGAGAATCCTCTCTGTTTTATTCTATTCCCATCTGATGAAATATCCTTCAGCATTTAATTCTTTTAAATTGAAGCATTGTCATCTTAAAATAAACTTTACTACATACAATTTCAGGTTAACTTCCTTTCTTTTGGGGGGAGGACTTCAGGCAACTGTTCTCCTCTTGTAAGTAATGAAGAAGATTCAATACACCTTGAAAAGGAGGTCTTTATTCATTTGGACACATTCAGAGCTACTGGCGGCCCTCACCGACGGCTGTGGCAGGCGTGCGTGAGGCCCTGCCTGGCTGCACGCCGTCTGTGAGTTTAGGAGTCTCCCCCCCTCCCCCCAGGCCTTCCCATGCTGTTCTAACTCCTCTGGCCTCCCCAGCTCCGGCAGCCAGTCAGCCCTCAGGCCCGGCAGAGCCCGGCTGCACGGTCTCCTCCCCGCGGAGCCACGCTGGCCCAGGGCGCCCTCTGCTCTGAGCGGTGCTGAGTCTGGGAGCCGGCCCTGCCAGCTGCCCGCTGTTGTGACGAGTTTGACTTTTTCCATGGCTTTTCCTCTGGGCCGAAGCTGATGTGCGACTGCCTCTTAGTCATCGTCATGGGACTCGTGTCAGTTTGACCGGAGCTGGCAGAGGTAGGGGCGCCGCCCGGAGCCTCCCATGGCAGTTGGCCCGGGTAACAGAGGATTTGTTGTCTGCCAGTCGCAGTGGAGCTCAAGCGGTTTGTTATCGTCAGTGTAAACAGTGACCTGCTGAAGAAGCGCCTGGAGTGCGGGTTGACGTGTTTTCATTTTCAGAGTCGATGTCGGGCCCCTGGATCTAAAATGCAGGAGGTTACCGAGCACAGGCACAGCCCAAGGTGACCCTGCCTGGGTGTCTGCTGTCAGACAGGCAGTAGGCCTTTCTGGGGCTGGCTGTGCTCTTGGAAACCTCAGAGGGTGAAGTGGGTGCAGCCTGTGCACCCAGAGAATACGCAGGGGCTGGAGGGCCTCCAGGCTTCATGGGCTCCCCGGGCCACCCTCCCACCCGCCTGTCTCCAGGTTGTCGTGGCGATGTGCCCACGGCTCCGTCTCAGCACCGGTGAGGCCGTGTTGTCATTTCTCACATACCCACTAGAGCGACGCCTGCTTGGGGTCTGCTCTCTGAGTCCTTCCTGAATGAGTGTGTTCCTTAGTTTGGATGTGTCAAGTCCTTGTGGACGGGCTGGTCAAGGCTTCCAGCCGAGCCTGGAGGGCGGCCTTGCCGAGCTGTGCGTGCGGGGCTTTGATCTTCGCTGGCTGGCAGGAGCCGTGCACCTACCTGCTGTTGGTTGGAGTGGATTCCAGACCCTCAGGGTCTCACTCCTCTTGCCTTCATGCTCTATAAAAATGCAGCTATTTTAAAGTTTAACACAGCATTTCTTGTGCGTTTTGAAGGAGGTACACACTAAGTGGGGAGCAGCCGAGTCTCCAGCGGGAGCCAAATTGACGCCTGTCCTCACCTCGTGTTAGTGCTCGAGGCTCCGGGAACTCCTCGGCTGTATGATGCATGTGCTGTTTATGGCCTGTGGGAGTAGGAAGGGGGTGCGGCCTCCACTTTACAGACGTGAAGGTGCGACTAGGGCTGTGGACTCGGAGGACACACCTTCCCTCTGTCTTACCCTGACTCTGGGATAGAGGAGAATGAACATAACCAGTAAAAGCAATCCAAGCAGAAGCATTAAGAAAGCATACTTTTCCTAAAACATTTTCAAACAGACTAAAAGCAGCTAGTTTTTTTCACTGTTGTTAAGCAGTGTTGGTTGAAAATTATTTGGCAAAAAACACAAGTAATCTCACCACCAGAAATAAACTCTTAATATTATAGCATACATCCTTCCAGGGATTTCTCAGTACCTGTTCACCACCCAGCTAAGCATCCACCCACCCATCCAACTGCCCATCCAGCTACCCATTCGTGCATCCATCCATCTAACTGCCCATTCGTGCATCCAACCATCCACTCCACCCATCCATCCAGTTGCCCATCCAACTACCCATTCATGCATCCAACCATCCACCCCTCCATCCACCACCCATCCGTCCGTCCACCCATCTGTACTTTAATCTGTACCATATTTTGAAATACAGCTCTATTACTGTTTTTTCTGGTAGTAATATATCATGCAAAATCCCCGTGTTAACAAGTATTCTTACCAAATGTCGTTTTTAATGGCTGTGTGCTGTGCAGCACATCTGAGTCACGAGCACGTCTGTTTTAGATTGGGCAGGTGGGGCCACGCTGTTGGAAGGAGTGAGGGAGCCTTGTCACACAGTTGGTGCTCCCTGTGCAGACCCAGGAGGGCACAAGGAGGAGCAGGAAGTGGCTGAATTAAAGCCCTAGTTTCGTCCCTGACGCGGTGCCAAGGGAGGGGTGCTCTAGGGAGCGGGTCGGGGGTCAGCAGTGTCATTGTCAAGGGGGAAATGGTCACAAATGCAGATGTGGGGCCCCAGCCCAGCCCTGCTGAATCAGAAACTGTTGGTGGGGGGACCCTCACACCTGTGTTTCCTCAAGGCTCCTCAGGGTCCTGATGCAGGATGAGGCTTGAGAACCCCTGCCGTAGGGTTAGGCTGGTCAGGGCCAGCCTCCCAGAGGATACAGTCTTGGGTAAAAGGGCCGTGTCGCAGAGCCTGGTATCAGGAGCTCGGCACGCACAGAGGCCCCGACCCTTTCAGAGAGCTTGCCACGTGGTCAGGAGAGTTGGGAACACAGGGCATGAACCCAGGAAGGTGGGTAACAGTACGTGGTAACCCCACACGAGCCTGAGCCAGGCCAGATGTCCAGTGAGAGGGCTTCTGGGCTTTGGGTCTAGATCTGTCCAGCCAAACGAACCAAGACGTAATTACTACCTGCTATGTAGAAGGTGCTGTGCTGGAGATTTAGACTAAAATGATACAGCCTTAAAATTAGGCTTTAATAATTAAAGAAGAATGTGTCGGCTTTGAGCCATTTCCTTATCAGGAGGTGTTTCATCCCAAAACAGTTGGAATGTGGCGTCAACCAGGAACACGAGAGAGTGGCCCTTTTCTGTCTCCTTTCACTCACTCAGCACAGGCAGCCAGGTGCAAGCCGTGGGATTTCAGACCTGGAGTCGGTCCTGGGTTTTGTTTGGTCAACATGGGATTTTAAAACTTTTGAATAAATAAGGAACTCATACAATACAACAGCAAAAACACAAGACCAAACCCACACACAGTCTATTTAAAACATGGACAGAGGATCCGAACAGACGTCTTTCTGAAGAAACATACAGATGGCCGATAGGCACATGAAGAGGTGCTCAGCGTCTCTGCTCGTCAGGGAGACGCAGGTCGTAACCACAGTGAGACGCCGCCGCACACCTGTTGGAATGACCACTGTCAAGAGGACAAGAGGTAGCAAGTGCCAGTGTGGGCGCGGAGAAAGGGGACCCTCGTGCGCTGCTGGTGGGAACGTAGGTTGATGCAGCCCCTGGAAAACAGTGCGGAGGTTCCTCAAAACGTGTGAAGTGAAACTACCACGTGATCCAGCAGTTTCACTTCGGGGTATTTATTCAGAGGAAATGAAATCAAGATCTTGAAGAGATATCCATGTTCCTTGTTGCATTATTTACAAGAGCCAAGACATGGAAGCGACCTAGGTGTGAAATCGGGTGGTTAGTGGATAAAGACAATACCGTGTGTGTGTGTGTAATGGAACATCGTGCGGCCGTAAAAGGAAGAAAACCCTGCCATTTGCAACAACGTGGAGGAGCCTGAAGGATGTTATGCTAAGTGAAGTAGGTGAGAGAAAGGCAGATACAGCATAATTCCACTCATATGTGGAACCTAAAGATGCCAAACTCACAGAACTAAGAGTGGCGTGGTGGCTGCCCGGGGCTGCGGGAGGGAAATGGGCAGACGCTGGTCAGAGGGTGCAGACTTCCCGTTGTCCGGTGAGTAAGCTCTGGGGACGGAGTGCAGGGGCTGTAGTTGACAGGGCTGTGTCATATGCTTGGAAGTTGCTAGGAGAATAGATGTTAAATGTCCTTGTGGCTAAAAAAAAAGAAAAAGAGAAAGAGTGTGAGGTGGTGGCAGTGTTGTGACCTTGTGGTGGTAATCGTGTAACTGTATGACGGTATGTAAACGTATCAGGTCTCAGATTGTGAACCTTAAACCCACACAACATCTGTCACGTCTCCAGGACATCTCAGTAAAGGTGAAAAGAAACTTCTGAGTTTGTGTCATAAGGAGTTTATCCACGGCAGACCCCCGCGTTTGTCCACCTGCTGCTCCTGAAGGCATTTGAGTTTGGCATCCCGTTCAGACCCCTGGCGCCTGATCCTGAGACTGGGCCCCCTGCAGCGACCAGGAAGTGCCCGGTGAGTGAAGCAGATAAGGCTCCCATCTTTGGCCTGATCTTCTGACTCAGTTTAGAGCCTCTCCTTTGTGGTCTGGTGACAGGGAGGGGACAGAGCTTCAGAGTGAGTCTCAGAGGCCTCTTCAGTCCTAGGTGCCAGGATCTGTGACACTACAGTCACGTCAGTTTGTCATGTGATGACTCGCCGAGGACCAGGTCCTCCAGGCCCTCGACCCTCCTGCCTGGCCACAGGGAGCTGTGAGGGGCCCCCAGTATGGGGGCCGGGGTCTGGGCGCTGTCGGGCTTCATCTCTGGGATCTGCCCCCTGAAGGTTGAGTCAGAAACCAGAGGAACTCAGAAGTGCTCTTCCTGGTTCTGTGATGCATTCATGTAAAGTCCCTTTGCCCTGCGCGCTGCTTTTATCCATTGGAACTCTCTCTGGGCAAGAGGAGGCGGCGGATGGCTTGTCCTCTCTGGTCTGTGCGGCTGTGAGTCCCCCACACCCCCCCGCCAGCCTAAGGGACCCTACCACGTCTGCCCTGCCCCTGCCCCTCACAGGCAGCCCCCATGACAGCCCTGCTCCACTGCAGTCGCACGTGTCTGGGTGACGCCCTGACTGCATCATCACCGCTCCGTCTGTTCCCAGGCTCTGCTGGCCCCACGGGGTGGCCGGTCCCTGTGTCCCGTTCTTACTGGAGCCTTTCCTCTTGGCTGCTCATATTCCAAATAGAATAATTACTTGAGGAATGTTGGTGCTTTGAAATTTGAATTGGAGTAGAGTAACAATGAATTTGAGAACCATAATTGTTGGGCAGAAGTCAGGTGATCATCTTCAGGACTGTAGAAACCTGTCCTGGAGTTTAAGGTGAGGACATTTACAATTCCTGGTGCCCAGCGGTGCGCTCCCGGCCCCACGGTTTCTTGTTGACATCGTGTTGTTGAACTTAACCCAACGCAGTGTCCCCGCATGGAACCAGAAGGCCAGTCACCGAGCAACGCTGAGCGGTCAGAACATGACCGCTTGTCTGAACGTGGTGAGAGGTTTCTGAACATTGTAATTCCAGTCGGCACTGAGTGTTTAATCGAAAGGACCTCAAGCTTAGAGCCGTTGTGGACCAGTGGTTGCAGCATTACTGCTTTTGGCTGGAGAGCATTATCTTTCTGTTTTCTTTTCTTGAGCGGAAGGAAGTGGGGAGGAGGTGACCCTCCAGGAATCCACACACTCGATCCCAGAGCCGGAATCGGCAGCTGCTTTTCCAGCCCCAGCAGGTGTCTCAGGAAGTGTGACCCTAAAATAGTGTCTTAGAGCGTGCCGGAAGCCTGGAGGACACGCAGAGCTGAAATAGACACCTGCGCGTGTAGTTCTTTGATTTTGTCTGTTTATTGGGCTTTTTCTGATCAAAAGAAAATGTGTTTTCTGAATTATGCTGAAGAAGATAAATCATTTTTAAAAACAACCAGAATATGGCATTAAAAAAGAAACCATTCTCTCTGCTTGTTCTTAGGCTAGAAGTTCCTGGTTTTCGGGTGTGGACGAGGGACATCCTCTTGGCTGCACCAGCCTGGTCACAGTCTGGATGTGCCCCCCACCCCGGCTCTGGGCTTCACTTGTGTGGCCTCCCTGCAATGCTGGGGCAGCTTCATCATTATCCACATTTCTACAGACAGAAAGTTGAGGCCCAGGAAGGGCAGATAACGTGACAAGTGGGTCTCGTTACCGGTGGTGAGGGTGGGGCGGGGACTCGACAGGGTCTCTCTCACTCATCCTGTGTCCCTGGCTGTGGTGGTGCACGAGCGTCTGTGCTTAGTGTGTGCACAAGGGCGTGTCTGCGCTGTTCATAGCAGCTAATACTCAGGTTGGTCCTGCTCTGGTTTTGGACCGTTGGCCCACTGGCCCCTGTGTCTCTCTCTCTTTCCCCAAAGCTGAATTTTGAATTTGATTCTTCATCTCTAAGGACCTGGGCCTCCTCAGAACCAAATGTCAGAACCAGTTAACTGCAAACTACAATAACGGTCACATACGTATTCAATGGGAAAAACAAAACAAAAACTGAAACAGTTTGCCAGCATGACTGAATAATTAAACCGTGAGATAAACCAGTCAATTAATTATTGGATAAGCCAGTGAATAAACTGAGTCAGTGTAAGACATATTTATTTTAAATTCAAACCGAGCAGAGTGGTTTTGAGAGTTGGAGGATTCAGTTGTTAAACTTTGACACGATTGAGCCTTTCTACTCTGCTTAAAGGCCAGGGTTTGAGAATCACTATCCGTCAAAAGCAGTAAAACTTCTAAATTCACGTTTATGATAGGAGACTTGTAAAAAGCAGAGGAGAACATAAAAGGCCATTTTTTCTCTCCACACGTGCAGATTACTTTTTATTCTTTTCATATCTGCTCATCACCCCCAGTTACCCGTTCAGTCGAGAGAGATTCCAGGCTTGTGTTGGAGAAACGGAAGTTAGTGGTTTCCTTCATGGTTTAGTTAGTCTCTCAGTCTGCTGCACAGAGTTACACGGTGTAAAGCGTAAAGACGCTGCGGCCCACCCAGGAGGGCCCCTGGAAATCGGAACTCCGTGTGCTGTTTTCAAGTTCAGCCTGGTTTGGTGTGTCTTTGCCCTGCTCGTGTGCGAGTGTGTGGCCATGAAGCACACATGCACACGGACGTCAGCAGCCTGTGGCTGCCGCACCACTACAGTCGGAAGAGCAGGAAACGCCCCCGCGGCACAGACAGGAGGGAAACGCCGTAAACACTTAGTAACACTCAGGTAAATGGTGTATAAAAACAGACAGCAGAAAATACATCCAGTCTGACCAGATCGACTTTCGAACCCTCACGTAAGTAGGTTTTGGCCAGGCGTGACCCTGAGAATAAAGGACGCTGATTTACATTTGATTGGAAGTACTCATCGTGGAGCTGTGCTGAGCTTGGACAAGCAGACACATCAGTTGTGCATGGCTGAGGTGATTTATTTAAAGCAGTGCCACCTAAGCTGATGGATGGAGGCGTCCACGTCATGAACATGAGGGCAGAGGGTTACTTCTAGTGTGTTGCCCCTCCACCCAGTCGGTGTTGAGCGCAGCCGCGCCGTCAGTGAGTGGATGCTCGGCTGACGCTGAAGTTGCCTCTTTGACCAGGGCCGTCTGCTGCAGGGACAGGGCCGGCCCAGGGGGCCCACCCGCCAGCACTGTGGCTCAGGCTCCACACCGGGGCGGGAGTGGGTGGCGGGTGGCTGTGCTGGGCTTGCTGTTTGGCTCATGGCCTGCTCTTCTGTCCCTGCGTGCCACGGAGGAGCTCCGGCCTGCCCTGTCTGCTGGGTCGGGAATGTCGTAGGTTTTTCCAGGAACGCCGCTTAGCTCCGGATCCTGGGGCTAGGGTGGGACTGCTGGCGACCTCGGGCTGCCCCGGTTGCTGTGGCACACGTGCAGAGTCTCCCGTGGCTGGTCAATTTCCAGAGTCCTCGGGTGGTCTCTTCTGTTCAGTTTGGGGTTTTGCCAGTAGAGACTGAAGCCGTCTTGGGTGCAGCCGTCAGACAGAGATGTGTCCACCGTGAGTGCCCTTGGATGTGATTTGGGTAGATGTCTCACACACACGCACACAGTGTCCTGCTCTGACCCCTCGGGAGGTGCCTGGGGTCACCCAGCTGTCCTCCCTCCTCGTGCTCCTGGTCCCACCCCTTTGGCGGCCAGAACCCTGTGGGAGAGCCCTCCATCTGGAGAGCGCCAGGACATGTCTGCTCGGCACACAGCAGTCCTTGAAGGGCAGCCCCTGCTGGAAGTCTGTCACTGAGAACGGCAGGATGGTGGCCCCCAAATGTCGACGTCCAACCCCAGGGCCCTGCCGGTGTGCCGGGGTCCTGGCGGGGGTAATCAGGTAACCAAAGCAGGCTGGCCCTGCTGGCCTGGGACAAGCGCCCTTGAAGATGAGAGAGGGAGGCGTCAGACGGAGGAGATGTGACCCGGGTGGGCCAGGACTCCGGCCGTCACTGGCTCTGCAGATCAGGGAGCAGGCGTCTCCAGGACGGAAGAGGCCTGGAGCCGCAGGGGAAGCAGCCCTGCAACACCTGACTTTCGCCCCTTGATCCCCTCCGGGCTTCTGACCCCCAGAATTGTAGGTAAGTCTGTGTGGTCTAAGCTGCTAGGTTTGCGGTGATCT